TCACTTTATTCGAGAGGCAGTTGCTGAGAGAAATATGACAGTAAAGAAAATTGGTACAGCTGACAATCCTGCTGATATGTTGACCAAGCCAGTCCCCGCCAACAAGTTTAAGCATTGCTTGAACTTGATTGGCATGCTCAGTTGAGTTTGCCCCTTTTGGGGCTTTGGTGGAGAGGTAAATGACAGTTCTACATTTGTTTTTGAAGTGGATATGTTCTTTCGTTGCAGCCCTTGTTTCCTACACCGAGTTAGCTCACGTAGGCTTAGGGACGCCGAGAGAATGTGTTCGGCTTCTTGACTGTTTTATTTTGGGAAATTCAAGCCAAGGTGGAGATTTGTTAAAATGTCTTGAATTTTATGTTCTCGGTCCGGTTAAACACCCGACCCGACATATTTTTGTGCGACCCGAAAATTGAGATTTAGTTCGCGACGCAGAGAGTTGGGCCGATAGGCCCAACTTGTAGCAAGTCTCTATGGCGGTCCGCCCGAGCTGGAGCAACGAACCAATGTTTCGGGGGGTTCGGGGGCTACGCCCCCGAGGAAATTTTTTTTGGGAGCACTATTTATACCGCGGCTAGGTTTTCTCATTGTTATAGAGAGCGAATTTTGTTTTCGGAGAGTTTTATGAGCCGTGAGCTTTTGTCGTTGTTTCGACTTCTGAAAACTGTACTCTCTTTGATTATAGTGGAATCTTGTCTTGCCTCGCCCGTGGACGTAGATCACGTTGTGATCGAACCACGTAAATCCTCGTGTTCTGTGTTTGCTTTTCCGCGTTTGCTTCAACATGACCTGTGTTGGTTTTGTGTAAGTGCGTAGTAGAGCCAGAGCATGATTACTCACATCACAAGTGAACCATTTGAGATTTTGAATGCTGTCACTGAGCTAAGCTCATTTGATATCACACCGAGTGGCGACCTATTATCGCGTTAAAATAGTTGTCTAGATCGAATTCATCGTCGATCATGTTAGAGTCTTACGCGAGTCTCACGTGATACGATGGCTACATCTTTATTTTTCATTTTTCATTTTTTTGTTTGGCATACTCGGTCCGTTATGATTGTCGTGTGAACTCTTGTAGCGATAAGGCACACTTGCTTTTGTGGACTGCCACTGGTTTGTTCTTCTAATATGAGAAGTTGAGCTATTAGAACGAAACGACGAAAGCATGTTTTGGACTTTGTCTTGATGTCATGGGTCAAATTACACCCGTGAACCCCCTCCATCCAGCCAGCTATATGCAGATTATTGAGGGTTTGGCATTTTAAATTTCTTTTCAACATGGTCCAAGTGAAAATTAATAATATCATCCAGACTCCAATTCTTTTAATGGCGCGATGGACAAAGTCAATCACAACACAGGAATTGCGTGTTTCTTTCTTGAATTAGTGCAGATTCCATTGTTTTCAGATACGTGATTAACGCTACTTACTGGATCTGAGTTTGATTTACCCCACATAAGTTCCTGTGTTCTTTAATTAGAAAAGCTAAGAGTACTAAGAAGTCTTACCACAACTCCTTAATTCATGTGGTGACTTTTCATTGGGTGTGAAGAAGAGGGAAAATCATGGATTTTAAGTAGATGAGTTTAGGCAACATAAAATTCCTACTTATATTGCTTCCACATCCAACGGCTTTGCTGACATAATATATGTAACACCCGACTTGTTTCACTTGAATCTGCCCCAAAAGCAAATTTGAGTAAGTACACAAGATGGTGATCATTTGGGGATGAATCTTATTTAAGTTATAAAATAACATCAAAAGACCTCACCCATACGGTGTCACAATTTACATCATTTCATTCGTCCAACATGGGACTTGATAAATCATTTCATTCCTTAATAGCCTATTTAAACCTTTTCTTAAATGTTGTACCTTTTTTAGGGATACAACTATTCTTCAGGAGTTTGGCAATTCGAAGGATATGGATACGTCCCGGCCGGGACATCCGGCGTATGTATAATGCAAGTGTTTGGAGCCACAAGCCCTCACGCGTCCACGCTTATGCTAAGAGTGTACAATGGCACGCTCATGTACTACCGGAGCGTGGTCCTCGTTGACGAGATCTACGACAAGGGGTTCCGAGTGAACGTCGTGCACGACGCAGATGCCTCGAAAGTGAAAGTGTACATCGATGGGTATCTGAAATTAGAGGCTGATGGCCGTGGGGGGACATCTCATGCCTTCAAGTGTGGTGCGTATGCCCAAGAGGGTGATTCTCTCTGCATGGAGTCGCGTTGGAGAGACATCAAAGTTTTGAAAAAGCGCGATTGATAATGGAGCGATAAGTGAAGATTTCGTTTTGGTCTAATCCTTGCCCATGGTGATGAATTCACAGCTACTTAAAAGAATTATCATTTCAGAATGTCGGGAGTATCAATTACATATGTTTTAATTGAGTTTAGCGCGCGTTCTTGTTCATGGTTTAACATCTTGTATCACCTTTTCAAAAAATGGTGCTCTTGTCCTATTTAAGGACACCTAGATTTTACTTCGCCATGAGCCTATTCGAGAAAAATTCGACGGTTGTATGTTTTATGCGTCGACACTAGCAAGGACGCCAGTGCTTTAGTGGAAGACAGTTATTTGATATGAACGACAACAGGCATAAAGGCATGATTAGTTCCGCAAATCTCACTGCACTGACTATAGTAAACTCCTTCTCGTCGTACCACCTAAGGAGATTTAGATATCAACGGTGGTTCGAGGATCTAGAGTATTGGACATATCAAGTTACTTGTCATATGATTTGTTATTTGAATTTCTATAAAATTTTCAAGGAATATCGGTACCCTTTCGAGGACGAAATTTATTTCAAGTGGGTAGATCGTAACATCTAGCAGTTTTTTATTCGAGGTAAATAGTTACTGAATTATATGGATAATATTTAATTTTTCAGTCTCTTGTGAACTCTAGATTTAACGTGGAATATGAGAAGAATAACAAGGATTGCTTCAATATCTTGTGAGTTCTGAATGTCTTCAATTTAGGAGATTTGATTTTTATATTGATTAAGTTTTTGGTGGTGAAGTTTGTTATTCAGTCTCTAGCCTGCGTGCACTTAGTCTTATTGATTATGAGCACGGTTCATGTGCAGTGTGCACCACGGAGGACAAGAAGATATACACACCAAAATTTCTCTAGAAATATAAGACAGTAGGCTGTGTCACAAAAAATTACCTAATTGGTTATAAACCTATTGTTTCACCGAAAATCACTGTCGTAGCGGTCTAGTCATCACCAGCCGCCACTTTAATAATTTTCTGAGAAAATTGGCCGGAATGACTATATTAAAATTTCGGAAAAATTGCCAAAAAAGTCATAAACCTATTGCAATTGTGTCAATTCAGTCTTAAACCTTTTACATTTGTACCAATTCAGCCCATCCGGCCAATTTTGGCCAGCCGGTGCTAATGTGGCACGACCAGTGCTAACATAAAATGGTCAGCACTGACATGAACAATTTTTAATTGAGCTTGCCGGCCCTCACCTCTAGCTGGTCACCTCGATTTGGCAACCAGCCAGAGGAAGAAGGAAGGGAAAAAAGAAGAAAAAAAAGGAAAAAGAAAAAAACCATTAAAAAATCAAAAAATATTAAAATATTATTATTGTTCACATTAGCGCCAGTCGTGCCACGTCAGCGCCGGCCAGCCAAAATTGGCTGGATGGACTGAATGGGCACAAATACAAAAGGTTTAGGACTCAATTGACACAAAAAAAAAAAAAGATTTCAAACTGAATTGGCATCATTACAATAAATTTATGACTTTTTTGGTAATTTTCCCTCGAAATTTCTCACAACGGTTTATGACTAAATTTGCAAAATTGAAAAGTTTAGGACTAAATCGATCCGTAAAATAAGTTTGGAACTGATTAGACAATTTCTCCGGCCGTATTGTAAACCTAATTAGGCCTCTCCAATGTTTGACGCGAGGAGAACCCGAGATTAATGTCCAACACAGAGTTTAACAATCTCGGGCAACAATCACAAGAAACCATCAAATTAATTGATTATCACCTCGCCAAACTGAAAGTCCTGCAATTTGTCAATTGGAAACTTGATGCAGAGCCAATCCTGGGTTGACCAACTGCGCTGCGGATTGAGGGTAATGCGTTGGACTGTCAGGTGGCAACGTATACCTTACAAATGGTTCGTCTGCAATTTGTCTTTCTTCAGTTTGGTCTTTGATTCGGTGGTGCCAATCAAGCTCAAGCATACCTCAGGAGAGTCAAAGGCAGATAAAGATACACAAAGTAAACTAAGTACGAGGTTTAATTAAGATTATCCGAATGAACTAATTAGCTTATTCTCCTGAGAGTACATTTTCTTTCTTTCTTTCTTTCTTCGTATATCTCTTTTACCCTTCTTCATCATCTTCCATACTCACCTCCGTCATGCACAGCGGCACGCCGGCTACCCGCTACAGTGGCCACATCATCGGGAAAAGAAAATGGACTTCGTCAATTTTAGAATATTGATTGCATGACGAATCAAGATCTCCAAAATTTGATCCAGATTGCACTTGACCGTTGAATCGAAAAAAATATATATATTGAGTCCACTTCTAATGGGCATTAGGTATTCTGCCGTGTGAATTGGAATCTAAATGTTATTTCACAGAACTCACGAAAGTTGACGTAGCAAAATTAAGTAAGGATTAATATTGGGTACACGGGCCGTATTTGAGACGTTCGACATCTCTCCTCGTCGAGATGGACAATTAGTTAATTGCCAAAAATAAAACTGCCGGTGTCAATGGCGTTAGAAGCGGGATGCGTAAAAAGAATAGTTATATGATTAGTCCACCTATTTTTGCGTAATTTATTGGATTGCTAGCTTCCGATTGCGACATCCCGGGTCCAAAAACGTTCCATCCACTGGTCAATCTAATTTAAACCTAGTCATTTCCATCTCCATCGGGATCTATAAATACTCTCGATTCTTGATGATTGCTATACCATCCATAAAACCAGTCCCAACTCCTTTCCTTCACCTCACAATGTCTACCTTCCTCTTCTCAAAAGCTAAGTACTTGAGTACTATCATTCATCTCATTATCCTATCGCACGGGAGCTCAGCTTCGGAACCTGTCGATCCGACCCAAGGCTTCGTGTCTCTGCCTCTCAACCGGTCGTATTACCACATCCAAAAGCCATATGACGTGCCCGAGGACCGGCGCTATTCCTTCTGCGACGGCGTCCACAAATGCTGGGTTTACTCTACGGACAAGCCTCACACTCGGACTAGTCGGACCAAGCCTTGTACCGAGATCGCGATACAGGTAACGCAACAAAAGGGCCAAACAAGTATGTTGTTAAACAAAAAAAAAAGTTTACTTGCTCCACAGTTTCAGTAAAGTATAGAGCACACTGATCTCACTGGTTTTACAGTGGATTGTCATCACTTCGTAATTAGCATGATTTGATGGCGACGAAGTTCATAAACTAGAGAAGGAGAATTGAAGTATATTAGGCTTTGTTTATTTCGTGAAATAAATGAACTCTTAATCTATACGTGGCCGGTAAGTGAGTCATAAATAAAGATGATTAGAATTTTGGATGTCTCTCAATACTTCATAAATATGTACCTTTTCTCTCGTCTTCTCTCTTGAGATCCTAGAATGTTTGAACGTCCCAGGCGACCGAATAGTCATCTTATAGGAGGCATTCATATAGACCCGCTACATGCAAGTATACCTCTTATTAGGGAAAATTGTCTAAAAAGTCAAAAATCATAAACCTTTTAATTTTGCAAATTGAATACTAAACATTTTCATATTTTGCCAATTAAGTCTATACGGCCAATTTTGGCCGAAAATCGCTGACTTGGACGCTGACCATCTTACGTGACACGACCGAGGCTGACATAGATAAATTTTAATAATATTTTCTTTTTCATTTTTTCTTTTCTTTTCTTTGTTTTCTTTTTACAACTATGGCTGGCAAGGGTCCGCAAGCCCTCGCCGACCCTTGCCAATCATGGGCGAGCGTCGCGGCCCTCACCTAAATCTGCCGAGGGCCGCGAAGCCCTTGCCAGCAGCAAGGGAGGGTCGCGGCCCTCGCTAGGGCAGGACAAGGGCCACCTAGCGGCCAAAGCTTAAACCCTCGAACCCTTCCTTCCGATCATGGCAATGACTTCCACTTCCCTCACCTCTCAATTCGCATCTCGAACCCTCGAACCCTTCTTCTTCTCATCAAAAGTCGTGCAGAAGCGTCATTGCCATGGCCAGGACTACGACCCTCACCCAAGGCCAACGAGGGCTTTGCAATCCTCACCCAGACCATTGCGGCCGCAGGCGAGACCGCATTGCTTGCAGTCGCGATGGCCTCGCCCAGCTCTAGGCAAGGCCAAGCAACGAGGGCTCAGCAGCCCTCGCCAGCCACAGTTTAAAAAAAACAAAGAAAATAAAAGAAAATAAAAAAGAAAAAACAAAATAAGAAAATTCGAAAAAATTATTAAAATTTGTCCACGTCAACGATTTTCAGTCAAAGTTGGTCAGATGAACTCAATTAACAAAACATGAAAAGGTACAAAACTCAATTGCAAAATTAAAAAGTCCTAAAAAGTTTAGGACTGAATTAGCAAAAATACAATAGATTTAAGACTTCTTGGATAATTTTCCCCTTCTTATTCGATAGAAACTTTTGAAAAACCTCGCTTTTGAGCAATGAAAGGTTATATATTGAGAATCTCATGAAAAATGAACTATTACGTGACGTACCAAAAATGCAACTAGGTAGGCATTTGAATAGTAGTAAGTTATATTCGATACATAATAAGAGTGCGCACGTCATATTACTCTGTACATCAATTTTATAAACCGCTCTTACTTCGTGTACTTCTATTACTATGACAGTATTCTTTCTTTTTTTGGCCTTGTTTAGGATGAGATAGGTTGAATCAAACAATGCTCCATCACGTTATGCCTAATCTCAAATATATAGAATATACTGCGCTATTCTCCTCTAGCTTTTCAAAACCCCATCTCCGGTTTGCCGGCCGATAAGATCTCCGAGATTGACCAGCCAGAGCTGAAGCTCGGAGAGCACTTAATAAGGGAACTAATTTATTAGAATAGATTTTTGGACACACCTCTGCTTGATTTACTCTGATCGATTTGAACAACATTTTACGTCTTAGGGATACGGCTATTCCTCAGGCACTTGGCAATTCGAAGGGTATGGATACGTCCCGGCCGGGACTTCGGGCGTGTGCGTAATGCAAGTGTTTGGAGCGAGCCCCCCTCACTCGACCACCTTCATGCTAAGAGTGTACAACGGCTCACTCATGTACTACAGGAGGACGGTCCTCGTTGACCAGATCTACGACAAGTGGTTCCGGTTGAATGTTATACACAACGTGGATGGTTCGAAAGTGAAGGTCTACATTGATGGGCATCTGAAATTAGAGGCAGATGGTCGAGGAGGCACTTCTCATGCCTTCAAATGTGGTGTTTATGCCCAAGACGACGACTCTTTCTACATGGAGTCTCGTTGGAGAGGCCTTCAAGTTTTAAAGAAAAACCACTGAGCATGCAGTATGCTACCTTCCTCTGTATGCGTCAGAAAATAATGTTCATGATGATGAACAAAACGTTGTTTAGATCGAGGTATAAAGTATCACTACTGTATGACTTTTCTTGCCATATGTTTTAAGGCAGTCGGGTCAAGTTGGGTGTCGAAAATTATCACACCCAAATCAACCTGCTTGACCCGTTTATATACAATATAAATTTAGTTACTCATATCAAATTTGACCCATTTCCGACTCATGTTATTAAAACACATTAATAATTAATCCAACCTATAGAAACGTGTACCCATTCATTTCAAGCCCATTAAAACTCGTATTCTCAGCTACTTATGTTCTTCCTATATTTGCTTGACTCTTTCTGATTTTCTATGCATTTCGATTCGATATTTTTCTTTCTTGAAATAAGAAAAAAATAAAGCTTACACAGTCAAAATTAGTATAATTACTATTGTAGCTAATGATTATGATTATTTTTCAAATATTTCATGATTACCCCGATTGAGGTCATTGCAAAGATACATAATGGCAAAGCGACCATTAAATTGGTCCGACGTGGTAAACGGATGAGTAATTTAAGAGTCCGTTTGTTTCACGGAATATGAATGAGTTTGAGAATATTTTCCTAAAAATGATTGCTTGTATCTCTTGAAATAATTAGTCAATGAAAACTATTTTCATTATCGACGATAATTTATGTTTGAACGTTTTCATGGACAATGAAAATATTTTTCATTCATTCATTTTTGTAAGCGACACAAGCGTCATTTTTAGGAAAAAAAATTTCAAATCATTCATTTTCCGCAAAATAAATGGAGCCTAAACACATCCAAACATGTCATGTTCATATTGTTAAGTAGTGCAACTGTACGTGACATGAACGAGAAGAAAGGCTTAATCCACACGATGCGTAATGCATAGACGGGTTGGCCCATCCGTTACAGGTGCACAAATTACGTACATATCCTGTGACAGGTTATGCTATGCTTGCTTGACTACCAACAAAAAGTTTTAAACCATAAAGAAAAAAAAGGGTCGAGGACTTTTACAATGTATGTGATGAAATCACGTGATATTCTACAAAAGCATAATATAATATATCATTTTGATTTTGTTATAAGCCAGCGGAACGAGCGTATAGGTTCGACTACCCGAAGGTCCATGAAGTTCCATTCTTTGGCAGCAAGAATTTCGAATTTGGAGTCGATCCTTTCGTCAGAGTCCAAACCTGCCCAGGTACTTCACATTCATCTGATTGTTTATTTGTAGTTTCGTAAATTCGATTTGATGTGACATTGTTAGTGTAAAGCTGCAATCTGGGTTGGCGCGGTCATGGTTCAATTGGCTTTTGTCTGTGATTTGTAGCCTTTCTTGTTCATTAGGAGTAAACATGTTCTTCTGAAATGATCTACAAGTTGCCCAAATTGCAGTTGCTAGATTTCTTTTTTCAGTTCTGGTATATGGTATGACATAGTAGACCTCTAATTGCACTGTAATTTACCTGTGAAACTTAACTGGGGGAAGAGTCCCTGTAATTCCACATTTTGATCTGGGGCATTGGAAATGGTGTGGACTTCTATTTGGCTTGTGGGATTGATAACATTTGGTGGTGGGTGATTCGTTTTATGCCCGGCGATTTATGATTTTTGCAGCAATTAGAGACTCTTTCTGAGTATGTTTTTGGTATCCTTTGCAGGACCATCACGTCTCTGTATCGTGCTGAAGTGCATATGCATTGAAAAGATGGGCTTGCTGTGATGGTTGGGTTTTGTATGCAGCTGCTGTCGTGCCCATTAAGCTTGTAGTCATTTCGGTGGTCAAAAGCCTAAAACTTTAGCATTTTATATTTGTTATACTTACATCTGTGACTGGGTTTTGACTCTTTCTTACATATATTAAGTTCTCATTAATGCATGCGAAGATCCGTTATGGAGTTGGTTGGGAAATACCCAAATGGAAATTGTCCAAACAACGCAATACTCTGTTTGGGATGACTTTATCATGGCAAACAATCTTCCTAATTAAAGGTCGAAAGCTGAATTTTCACATTGCAGCAATCGCATAGCTTAGTGACTAGGCAAAGATTCGTTCTTGTTGCTTTCGATGCTGTGTTTGGTTGAGGATATCACTGCTCGAGTTATGAATTTCCAGCTAATGTTGCTTGCACATATTTTACGAAAGTTTGGAATTGTTATGTATTATGTGTGAAGGGGATAAGTTCTTTAATTTCTTTAGAACAGATAAACACAACTTTATATTGCACGTTGAGCTCTACTGTCGCTGTTTTGATATGTTTGTTTGTTCTCATCAGCGTGTTTGCAAAGTTGAGAGGTTCTGATTTGATAGCGAGGTCTAGCTCTGACATTTTGCTTGTGTGTGAATGTGCGGAAAATTGTGGTGATGTTTGGCTTGATTTGGATGCGAAGACGGAGCTATGTGGAATCGCACTCTATTTACAAGTGATGAATTTCCAGCTGATTTCGCTCTGGTTGTGCTAGTGAGCATGTTTGACCCGTCTGAGATGAAAGCCAATATTTTGGAGCATGTTTTGAACTTCAAATTGCCCGAACATTTAGAGTCGAAGTAATGACAAGAAATGTTTGTAGTGTGTTGCAGCCACTTGAGGGCATTTTGTACGACTGACTGCCATGAGGCACAAGTTGCCATGGACAAGTTGAGAGAGAAAAGGTCTAGGCAATCAAAGGAAGTCGGAGGAGAGCACATGGCAGAATGAGCAAGATGAAGGATGGCTTTTGACTTTGAGATGATGAAACTAGCTATCCTGAAGTGAAGGTAGGATCAATTTGCAAACTTTGTTTGCACCAGCAATGTGTCTCTGGGACTTGTGCAGTTCACTGATCCTTCTGGTATTGACAATGGGATGTTTTGATGTCGAATTGTTGATCGATATGACTATCTGCTTTTGGGTATAAGCAGGTTTTCAGAAACTGTCACTGGTATTATACTTACTGAACTACGATCAGCACCTACAGAAATATTGGTCAGAAGTTCTTCATACATGGATTCATGGAGCAAGTATTCGGTGAGTGCTGTGCAACATCATTCACCATAAGTTATTGCGTATCAGTATAACGAATTGTCTGAATTTGTCTGTCTAGCGCCAAAAGCATATATATGTTGTTGGATATATTATTAATATAGTCCAAATAATATGTTCACATACAAGCTCAATAGGTTTAAAGTATGGTTATTTTGGGCCCATATGGGCTGGAGCCCAATAGCTTACATATAAACTCTAGGGTTTCCCTACGCTGGAGGTAACACTGTTGAGCGTTCCAAACTTGACGTCTCTTGGTGTAATACTTTAAGCAAAACACAATTTTCTCTCTCAAACCCATAACCTCCAACAATCTTAAAGTATTAGATTCGTGTGTCGGATTTGAGCAAGAAAGTTGTCTACTTGAAGATCTTGTCGAGACGAACTCGAAGGTATTATTTATTTTCGATTTCGACAAGAGGGTTGGCCGGGATCTGAGTTTGAAGATTCGGTGGCCGAAATCTTTGATTCAAGAACCCAGAAATTATAGCCAATTTCAGAGGGTAAAACCACTTGGATCTTGTTCTCCTCATCGATACGAGCGTTTTGAGTGGTCACTCGCCTTGAAAGGAGTTCGGACGGCTGAGATACGACAACCGGAAGTTTCGGCGATTTTTTGGCTTCCTGCGAATTTCCGCGACTTTTCGGCTTTTGGCGAATTTCCGGCACTTCTCGGCTTCCAGCAACAAGGGCAGTCCATCTTAAGGTTTTTGGGCGCTCCGGATCTGTTTTTGGGGTCTGTATTGGCAAACTCCATCTCTACAGAGCAGTTTGACCAAGGTTAGGGGCATTATTCGACTTTGTGCGCTCCGCGGACTTCAAGGTGCACTCTTTCTACGTCTTTGCTCTGATTAAAATGGCAAAACATAGTTCCTATGATATTATCAAGCTGCAATCATTTGATGTCACTGAATTTCATGGTTGGAAATTGCATGTTCAATTTGGCATGAAAGAACGTGAAATATTCTACACAGTACTGAGTGATTTTGCATCTACCACTGAAGATGTTGATGAATATCAATGGAACAAAGATGAAGATTTTTGTAGAGATTACTTGTTGACCTCTTTAAATCCTCGTCTAGCTATGACTTATAGTGAGTTTAAGACAGCGAAAGAGATATGGGATCACTTGAACGCTCAGTTCCAAAAACAAGAGGGGCTCTCTAAAACTCTTCTAGCGGAGAAGTTCTTTGACTTTAAATTCAATATTAATTCGAGTATCACCTCTCAATTAATTGAACTTGAGAACATGAGGAACAGGTTGAAAGAGGATAACTCTGATATGTCCGATAATCTCTTTGTTGGTCTTGTGTTGAGTAAGCTACCTGCTGAATGGAGTTCTTTCAAGACTGAAATGCACAGACAGAAAGAACAGATGAGACTGGATGAATTAAAGAGGTATATTCACATTGAAGATCAAAACATATCTAGGAAGAGTTTGGAACAGGAAGGACAACAAAAGTCGGTTGCCAACTTAGTTTCACATTCCAATAAACCTCAGAAAAGGTTCAAGTCATCAAAAGGTGAATCCTCTTCACAGTTAGAGGCCAAAAAGACTATCTTCAAAAGGAAGAAGAAGGGCAAGTGCCATAACTGTGGAAAGTGGGGTCACTGGGCAGCAGAATGTAAGCTACAAAAGAAGCCAAAGAATGACACACCACAAATTGCGACTAATATGTTAATTAGTAAATTTGAGCCTCAAGCCTTCATTGGAATGATCAAGAATGGAAAGGCCAGCGTCTCCTCTGAGTGGTGGTTAGATAGTGGCGCTACTTGTCATGCTACAAATAACAAGAACTCACTCACTGAGGTCATAGAAGTGAAAGACACCGTAGAAAATTGTAATGGTGGTGAGGCAGAGGTGACTCATGCTGGAACTGCAAATTTGATGCTTTCTTCAGGTAAATTACTAACTCTGAAACATGTTAGAGTAGTACCTTTA